CATCAGAATCAGAGACAACAATCCAACATCAAAACTTGGTATTCATATGAAGACTGACCACTAGAAAAAAAGAAAAGAAAAGAAAATAAACGAAAGATGGACAAAAAACAAACAAAAAAAAAATAAAGAAAAACAAAAAACTCTAGAAACTAAAAACAAAATTTCTAGCACCACAATGATTCCCCCCCACACCTAATTCACACATTGCCCTCAATGTGATAATGTAAAAGTAGAAGGAAGGAGAGGGGCAACGGTACTTCCCTGAAGTCATCAAAACAGGGGCAGTTCAGGTGGAAATTGGGGATCAAGACTTGCATGGTGACGTCAATGTGGGTCATCCGAGTCTCTAGTCTCTCGACTCGCATCTGGAGCTGGTGCCATTCGTGGCTTCACCATGTAGTCAAATTCAAAGCAATAACAATTTTTAAAGCCATCCCAATGAGCAAAATGCACAATTCAACCTCCTATAGATTAAACCAGACCCCAACACTTATAGCAAATGCAATCAATAAGTACTCATGGACCCCATGTAGTCAAATTCAGAATTAAGGCCGTCCAAAGTGCAACAACTGCTCCAAAGACCCCAAGCAAGTCAATAAGACACAACTAATAAGCAATAAACAAAGGAGGAGCACAGTAGCCGTCCAAAAACAAGCAATCAGTCACGAGAACCGCTTAGAACATGCAACCAATATCAATAAGCAAAAAGAAGCGTCACGGGCGCCCCCAATAAGCAATAGCAGCAATTCACCCACAATTGGACACAAATTTCAGCAAATGAGACACACTTGGACCCCAAAGTAGTAACAACTGCTTCCAACTGGACAGTCAATTACCCAATACAATTAACCAAATTTGCAATTTAGCCAAGCAATTGGCAATATCAGCAACCACAGGTCAAAGTGCGACCACAACTGAAGTACAACGTTAGTAGCTCGCAAACAGTCAGGCGACCATAAAAAAATCAACGAATGTAATCAAAACACTCCCACCAGTACCACTGGTGCACAGACAGGAAAGAATTAAATTCAACGGTAGCAACTCAATCCACCAAAACTGAAACTTGAAAATAAGCAAGTGTCTCCAAAAACAGCAACAATGATAGGCTAAAGTGCTCAACCAGTACCACTGGTGAGTCACAGGGAAAAAAAATTAAAGCAAATGGCCAGCAATTCAATAAATATCAGAGAATTTTCCCACATATGGCAGCCATTACCCCCAAATCTGTCCAAAATTTATCCTAGAAAATGCCCAAGTACCACCCTCCTGTATCTAACAAGAAATCCAACCACAAATTTCAGAGATGGAGACTAATTAGGGGAAGAAGTCACGATACCTCCACCTGTCAGAAACCGACAGGTGGTGACGGCGTGGGGACTGTTAGGTTCCTGGTGGCGTGCGACCTGATGGAGGGCTGGTGATGAGCTCGCGACAAGCAGCGGCGCACAGGGTGAAAGTGAAGAGAGGCGCGGCTTGGCCGGACTGCTGGTCGAAGTGGAGCTTGGCAGAGAGGGACCGCGTGCAGCGAGGGCCGAGCTCGTGAGCAGCTTGGGCTGGGCTCACGGGCGGCAGCCAGTGGAAGTCGGCAATGGAACAGAGAGGGCTAGCGGCGGCTAGTGGCGTCGGATGGAGGGCTGCAGGGTTGGTGGTAGCGCACGAGCTCAGGAGGAAGTAGAGATCTTCAGGGAGAAGGCCACGTGCGACGGAGCGGCAGCGTGGGCCGGCGGCGTCTTGCAGCTGGTATCGCGCGAGGGCGTGCGCTGGGGTTGTTGGTCTGGAAGGCGGGGTTGACGAGCGGCGCGCCTTGGCCGCAAGCTGCTGGTGGAGCGGCGGCGCGCGGGCTGCGTGGGCTGAGCTGAGGATGGGCGAGAGAGAAGGTCGCCCAGGTGGAGCTGCTGTGCTGCGGGCGCGCGTCGTGGGCTGATCTCAAAGGGTTGCGACTGGTGGATGGGCGCGGCTTAGGAGGAGGCGATGGCAGGCGGCTGCGTGGCTGCAGCTCGCGAGGTGGTGGTGGTCGTGGAGCTTGGGGCCAGCGGCGGCTCTGGTTGCGGATGACGCTGGAGGCGGGCGAGGGTGAGTGAGGTGGAGCTGGTGGCGTGCGGCTGTCGCGGTGGGAAGAGAGAGGCGCGGCGATTTGGAGGTGAGCGAGGGAGGCGGCGACGCGCGATGGAGGAGCATCGGCTGAAGAAGAAAAGAAGGAAAAAGAAAAAAAAACCAGGCAGCGGGGAAGAAGAAGAAGAAAAGGGAAAGAAAGGAAAGAAAGAAAAGAAAAAGAAAAAGAAAAGAGGAAAAAGAAGAAAAAAGAAAAGAGAAAAGGGAAATTGTTTTTTTTTTTTTTTTTTAATAAAACTTACGCTTAATGTAAATCGTCCCAATTGGAAATTGCTGAAATTTTTTTTTTTTTTTTTTGTAATAATAAAATTTAAAAATTTTTTTTTTTTTTTGAATTCATTTTTGGGTCGTCAAACACCGCGCGGGCACGCCAAGATTGGTCTTCGTCCTCTGGTCTCAGAAAACACAAACACCGCGCGGGCACGCCAAGATTTCACTTCCTGGTCACAGTGGAGGAGATATTAGCCTTGATACTACCCAATGGAGAAACGACAAAACGAAAGAAATAAACAACTAAAACCAATAAAATCAATATTCGGGTTGCCTCCCAAAAAGCGCCTTTCTTTAATGTCTTTGGCTAGACATGCTATGCTTGTTCATGGAGGATAAAATCTTGTGGCTCGCTTCAATGCTTCATCTTCAATGTGATCCTGGTAACCCTCATAGATAGAGTAATCTTTGAGCACACGAGTTACGGTCTTCCATGGACTAGTTGAGGGCGCCAAATAATCAAGCATTGATCGCAATTCTTCATCCACTCCTCCGTCAAGAGCATTCAACGGTTCAAGATATTTGACCATAGCTACTCTTAATTCATTCCTGCCATGAGACTCAAGAACTTCCGGTATAACAAAATCAATCTCATTAACAGAAATCATAGAGTAAGAGTTAAGAAAATGCAGGTTAGGGAATGGAGGTGGTGTCACCACATTTGCTGATTCTTCACTGGATTCTTTCACTTGAATGGGTTGCAGTTGGGGTTCAATTTCTTCCTTTTCGGGTTCTTTTTCAACTGCATCTGTACATCTCTCTTCTTGAAAATCTTGCAGTTCTTCATCACTAGTCAGGCAAATTGCACTCTCATTTTCAACAATGGTTTTCGAGGGCAATTCTTCAAATTGAGAAGCCAGTCGATTTATTCTGGATGTCAATAGACACATTTGATCTTCCAGATTACTCATTGCCTCCTTCATCATCTCATTTCTCCTTTGTGTCTCCTGTTGGAATTGATATGTATTAATAGCTATTGATTCAACTATTTCTTCAAGAGACATACCTGACATAGATGACGATTCTTGAGACTCGTACTGCTGAAAATTCATTGGCCCCGTTGTATAATTATAATCGGAGTTATCCCACCATTCTTGATCATACCCGTTTGGATTAGGGTTATACCACGTTTGAGACCAGGGTGAAAAATCTCCATAATTATTGAGGGGGACACTCAGATTATCTTGATATTCGGGGCACATACCGGTTGAATGATCCCTGGCATAACAAATTTTACGGGTTGCAGCAGCCATTCTTTCTCTAATAGAGTTTAGTGCCTCTGAATATGCAAACTTAGCAAAAAAACTAGTCTCATCGCCTTCCCCGCAAACAAGATCCAGACTATTACCAAAATATGGAGTGTTAGAAGCCATAAACTATATAAAAAAAATATGAGAAAAATAATATAAAAATAAAAATAAAAACAAAAACAAAATGAAAAAAAGAAACAAATTAATCTGACACCAGTCCCCGGCAACGGCGCCAAAAATTGACAGGTGCCGAACCTGTGCAATAATAAATACCTACTCGAGAAAAATACAGATTTTGTATATAGCGGTGAGTAGGGTCGAATCCACAGGTACCTAATGAAAAGGAATAAATCTTTTTAAAACTAAAAGCAAGTCTAGGTGCAAGGTTCTTGATTGAATACGAGTGTGAATGAGTCCATAAACAACAAAAATTTCTTTACTTAATCGAGATGGCTTTATGATGATTCCAACACAAAATTGCTTTTTGGCCCCTTCTGTTCTCGAAACCTGTCTTCTTAAATTTTTTTTCTTTTTTTTTTGGCCCCTTCTTTTCTTTTTTCTGTCTTTAACCAAGGTAACTAGGCCAACATGCAAAAGGGTCTTATATAATAAAAAGGAATAAATCTTTCAAAACAAAAAACATTGCCCTTGAGGCACTTGATCAGGGAGCCTTTCTTAATGGACAATGCCAAACGGGTACTCCTTGAGTATGATTACAAGTTCACAACATTGCCTCGACTACTTTGTTGATTTTTTCTTTCTTGCTCCGTTTGTTTGTTGGATAGTTGAATATCGCATTTCTCTTCTTCACGATCCCAGCCAAAAAAGACAAAAAAAAAAAAAAAAGGAAGTAAATTTCAAGAAAGAAATCCTTGCTAGCTCTGGAGGTGGGATTTGTTTCTCCTTCAGCTGCCGTAAAAATTTGAGAGGAAAATTGAGGAAGATCCCTGCATGAGAGATGGAGATGGGCTCCCCTTGCAGTTGCACTAATCGTATCTGAATTGATCTGAAGTTGCTCCTTAACAACTTTCAAAAATGCAATGGATATTATTGCTAGTATACGAATGCATATACGTATATTGAATTTCTACAAGTTAGCAAGGATAAATACAAAATTTTTTCGAAACTCGATGCCTAAAAAGGAATAATTTTTTGACCAGTTGGGGCACAGTTACCAACTTAGAGAGGTACTAGGAGAGGTAAACCGCGCTTCGCGCGGTGGAATATAAAACGTGAATGCCCATGAAAGATTAAAATTGTGTAAATAATAGTTGGCTTTATTGATAAGTAATATTAGATCAGAAGTAATAGTGGAGGTATATGTATTGGTTAACAATCGAAAACTGTTGAACAAATGGAACAAGCTAATCTGGTAATGGATGCGATATACTAATTTGGTAATCAAAGCTACTAATATATTAAAGGTGAAATGTATGATGCCATGGATACATGATTTCTATGCCGTTGATTCCGAAAATTAAAACAGCAAGGGATGTACGGGACTGGGGTATGAATACAAATATTTCTCCTTGTTGAAGACCATGGAGACATTTGTATTTCGGAAGAGCATTTTGAATTTACAGAAGCCAGCAGCATCGATGCAAGAAACGTAATGGTTAAGCGAAGGCACCAGTATAAAGACCAATACAAACGCTCAATGTTGACTAAACTCCCTTGTTTCTCAGCAAGGCGGATACCATTGATAATTGATGCATGGTTGAGTGCATCAGAAAAAATGGCAACTCTTGCATCCCTTTTAGGTTTTCCCCCTTCAGCTAACAGCAAACCAACACTTCCAACTGCTGTGATAAGTGCCATGTTGGCTGCAAAGCCTGCGGGACAAAGAAGGCAATCCTAATATGTGACATTAGAGCAAGAATTCATCAGTCTAAATCCAGCAGCATCAACCCTTCATTACGATCAAAAGCATAGCAGGTAAAGTTTGACCATCTATTGACCATAGTACATGAAATAGGAAGTTACATCCAATTTGTTTATACGTGATATATGTTGCCTTCTAAAGAAATGAAATCTATAATGAATATATTGCTGCAATAGACATGGGAGGCAAGAACCAATTCATTGGGTTTAAGCTTCATTGCAACCAAGACCTAGTTGAATCACACCTAACTAAAAATTTTGTCATATGGATTGTCAAAACCACTTTTCTTATCACTTGATTGTTTAGAGTTCTGAAATAAAAATATTATCAATAAAACCTTTTGAAAAATCTGCATTTACTGGGTACTGAATGAAAATTTTGAAACTACCTCTTTCTTCTTTAAGTCTGCCAACGCCGACTCCAGCAACCTGTGGTTATTTGTGTAACTACAAATTAATGCTTGACCTCTAGGTCCCATCCCATGCAACTGAGCTGCCTAATTTGTCAGGGGAAACCACAACACAACACAAGTTATTAACCAAAATTCTCCATTTGATATCAGGAGAATCCATAACTCAACAACATATTGATTAAAAAAAATTACCTTTACTGCGGCCTTGATAACAGTTGGGTGGGAACTCAAGCCTAGGTAATCATTCCTAGAGAAAATTAATAACTTCTTGAACTTTCCACCACATGGCCCTGCTCCATCATCATCCTCACCATTCCCAATTACAGTGTCATCCCCTGTTTTATCAATTCAATAAAGCATAAAATACCAAAACAATGCACATGCAATCCGTGACAAGTTTTCTACATGCTTTTCTTTTCTTCATCCTTAAAAAATAGAATCACAGCAAGAAACGAGCATAAAAAAAAGAGCTTCTTCTCAAACAAAATTAATCACTCCACAAGTTTTCAGTAGGTAAATGGGATGGAGGGAAACAAATGTAGTACCGGAACTGGGAATGTCTTAAACATCCAAGGCGCAAATCCCGTGTGAAAAAAGCCACAACTGGGCATTGCTGACACAGAGGCATTGCTGACAAAGGTCCTTAAACAATTGGTTATTGGAACCAAACTCTGAATGTGGGAGGATAAAGGCTCCTCATTATTTACAAGCAACTGAATTACAGATCAAGTAAAAAAGTAACCTAACAGACAAAATACAGTCCATACATAACATCAGACTCAAAGGCTCAAAAGATCAAGAAGGCCAATAGCCAAGAGCAACATGGCAATCGGAAGAGCAGCCTTGATCCTAACACAAATAGCAAGTAACAACTGTGAACTTGGCGATGGCCGTTGACCTAATCACATCTGAGGAATGCTTTATATAACACAACAGGTTCTTCCGTTCTAGGCGACGGCGAACTTGTCTATACAGGCCAAAAAACTGCACAGATAAAAAAACAGGGATAAGAAAATAGCGGATAGCAAGGCACAACTACAGTGAACAAAGCTCCGAACAGTGGAAAGGAAAACACAACCTCGTCATCAACAGTCTGGTACAATTGAAATGCACTAAGTCCAATTATCTTTTCAGCTTCAGCACCCAGAGTGACAACACTTACATAGCCAGTATCGTCATGAATAAAAAATCTAATCCATACCCTACGCAAGCGAAAGGAAATAACCAGCAGGAGAAAACAAAGCCATTTGAAAAAAAGACTAATTGGAACCAAAGCAACTAACTAATACCAAACATGGAATGAACCTTGGAAAAATAGACATTCCCAGGCCGCAAGAAAGACACCAGATCCCTAAGGTAATGGAAAAATCATATGGCTGATAACAGTGGGGTCAGGTGAGATGCCAAAAGCGAGTCATTGGACACGCAATTTCAACACGGCCCTTAATCCAGACGGTTGCTTGATCCTCAAAACAACAGAGAGTAGCAACTACTCAGCAAAACAACTACAGAAAAGGGAAAAAACAACAGCAAAGGAAAAAGCTGCGGTATAAAAATAGAAAGTCACTAACAAAGCGAGTGAAGGATGCAACGCTGGAGATTGCAGTAAGAGTTGGAGCACGAACAGGAGGTAAAAGAATAGCCGGATCAGCGTATGATTTATTGTCAAAAATCATATGGACTAATTCCGAGACATTTCTTTCACACCTACAAGAAACAACAAAGAAAAGTAAGCCCATAACAGAATAAAAAAGGCCACACACTGATGAACAGCAATTCAAAAGTATAAAAACCAACCAGCAGTCAAGCTCACGTGCCTCCAAAACATCAGGAGCAACAAGTATAACAGAAGATGGCTGGGTCGACAATGATATATCTAGTACAACAAAACAAGCGAGGCAACTAAAAATAAACCAACCAGGCATCAAGGAAACAAAACATAATGCACAAGGAAAAAGAGCGACATACAATTTTCCGTTAAGACCCTAACTCTCATAGCGATAATAATAGGCATGGTAGGCATTGCTTCATCAATAACACAGCCCTCGATAGATTCAAAATCCTCCCACAAAGTCAAAAGAATTGGAAGTTTACTGCAGCAAGGTCACAAATCAAAGGATTATCTAACACAGGGAAAAAGGGCTCAAACGAAGGACAAAAGTAAGGTAAACCACAATGAAACGGTAACCTGTGGTCAACTATGACATAGTCTCTCCCATGGCGCATAGTCCCTTCCATATAAACATCTCGTGCAGGGAAAGCATGAACAACGATCCCCATTACATCTGCAGTTAAACAACACATGCAGACAATTAGGCAGCAATGCAAGGAAAGGCAAAACAGAAAACATAGAAAAAACTTGCTTCCCTTTTGCAGTTTTCACAAATGAGAGACATTATTATGGTTTATGCTGTGATCCAGCATCGTTGGGGAGGTGTGACTGGTTAAGGCACAGACTTTGACAAATCCGCAGCTCTGTTCATTCTCTTGTACAATTGCAATAATTACTAAAAGCAGTTTAATAAAGAAGACAATTCTTATGATGGAATAATGTTTTTGGAACTTATAGTGATAGTATTATAGTGATTGTTCTGAAAAAAGAAAGAAAAAGGAAAAACCCAGGGGAAAAGAGGAAATAAACAAAGAACGAGGGGAAAAACGGGGAAACAGTGAAGAGAACAGGCTGACATAACAAAAAAATCAAAGACTCAAAAGGGAAAAAAGGAAGGGAACAACATAAAAACCAGAATCAGCAATAAAACATAAAAAAAGAAGAATGCAATAAAATCAGTATCTCCGCCGTCACAGATGAAATGAAAAGGAAGAAACGAACCCAAAAAATGGGAGAAAAGCACCCGAAGAACGGCAAGGGCAGAAACGACGAAGGGTGGCCTGAAGTTTTCCTGAGGCCACCTGTGGGAAAAAAGAAGGTGGAAAAGTTTCCCCGAGGCCAGCTCAAAAAACAACGACAAATCGAGCAGGGAAAAAAGCAGGAACAGTTGACCCAAAAACGCAGATGGAAGAAGGAGGAAAAATACGCGGAAAAACAGAAACTGGTAAAGCATAGGGGAAAAAAAGAGACCAGAAAAGACGTAAAAAAAATAATAATAACAGGTCACCTGAAGATGAAGATTGGCGGGGCTGAGCAAGAAGAAACTCCGTTAAGGACAGCGGTCTGGGAAAGTATTCCGATGAAGTTTTTTGAGAGACGCCAGCTGAAAATGAAAACAAAAGGCAGCTGAAGAAGAAACAGCAGCGAGATATCCAGCAAGCAAAAGAGAGCGAAACGGGCAAACCGAGAAAACAGTAAACCATAGGGTAATGAGCGGCAGAAACAAAACTTCATTAAGGAAATCAAGCTGGAAAAGTTTTTCGCAGGCCATTGAGATGCGAAGATGATACACAAGAGAGGAAAAAGAGGACAGAAAAATGACAGACGAAAAAGTGATCCAGCTAACGAAGTAGGCCGCGTGGCCTTGTAATAAAAAAGAAAAAGAAGGAGTAGGCCGCGTGGCCTTGTAGTAATAGAAAAAAAAAAGGAATAAATAATTAATAAAATAAAAAAAAAAGAAAAGGAAAAAAAAAAGGATGAATGATTTGAGATGCTACAGCGGACGACGACGACGACGACGAAAAAAACCAAATGAACAGTAACATCCTTTGGCTGTTAGAGTGTTATGTTAATAACTAGGAGGCATGGACCGCGCGTTGCGCGGTGACAATTTACCATGAATGCCCATAAAGCATTTGTAATATGTATATAATTTGAAAAATAAAAAAGAAATTGACTTCGTTAGATAACACAAGCCAATTACTAATGCACATCTACAACATGACAAGCATTTCAAAATCTAATATACGGCCTCAAATCATCACAAACTTGTCAAAGAAAGCTAGATACATATAGTATGAGAAAACTTGCACCCTTTTCACACAGGCAGCATATACAGTTTGCCTTAGTAGCTAAAAAGAAGACTATTATGTTACATTTTTCTATTTTGACACTTGCTATAACAATTACATGCAACAGAAATTCACTTCATTAAGCATAAACAACTATGAGTTCACTCGTCAGTCGCCATCAGCAACACAAACTGAGCCAAATTGCACTTGAGCCAAGGTTTTGAATGCCTAAGAAGTCCCATGATAAATCTACACGATGAGCTTTCTCCTTTTTAGATGTAAGTATAAGCCCATCCTATTAAAATTACAATAGGGAACAGTTAGTTATCATCCTATTTATACCAGTGAAGAACCAAAAACACAACAAATGAAATCAAGGTTTTAAGAAAGTAAAAGTTAGCTTGGAATCTATGAAGCCTGACCATGTAATGCTCAATATAAACACCTTCAATATCATAGTTGAAGCCCCAACCAAGTTTTTTCCTTGTTGAGAGTGTAATTTGAGTTACAATCATGAACACCCAGTGCAATGTGGCCATTTCATCCCTACCACTAATAAAATTGAAGAATATTAAGTTAAGATTAACTTTTAAGTTAATAGGGAGAATTATAGTGTGTATACTCAACCAAGCATAACTACACATACATAATCAGTATTCTTAAATAGAATTTCACTTCAATTAAATAATATAGTGTATGCTCAACCAAACATAACTACACCGATATGAACCAAAGTTGGAACAGTAGAACCCCCTTTGGCTCTAAGTCTTATATGTTGAAAGTCCAACTCAGAGAAAAAAAATGGAAAATATCGATATCACCTAAGAGCACCTTCAATGCACGCAAAAATAATGTTATAAAATTGGTAGACTACAGGCATTGAATCAGATTCATTAAACTTCACATTCATTAACAATTTCTTAATATCAAAATAAAGGCATGAGTTGAGGCATAGAAGAACCTAACATTCTTTGCTAGTATGTGCATTTAAATAAACCTAACAAATGGCATTTAACCAACACTATATCACCTCAACCATAGAAAATGATCTGTGTGTACCTCTATATATTATAGTCCTTGTGTTCATCTCCTAATATGTATATGATAACCATCAGCATAACAAAATTTCAGTAATCCTGCAACATTGTAGACCTGTGAATTAAAGATTCATTAGCTAAAATGAAACCTGCATTTTGGGCATACATGAGCAAATACCTTGGCCATGCATTCAACAAACCAAAAAATTAGGTTGAGTGGTAATCTAGATTGAACCTAAAATTGGTTAGTAAAAGACCAAAACTTTAGAGCATGAACTAATTAAGTGAAAAAGTTGTACTGCAGCTACTTTAGTTTGAAAATCTGGAACAACTTGTAATTAAAAAAAAGCATGTTTTGTAATTAATCTTATAAGTAAATAACACCCACATGTGCTGTTATTCTCCTGCACATAGTGAACACTTATAGTGAGGAAGTTTAAATATGTCTCTTGAAAAGCACTCTCTAAGACGATCATAGACTTATCTCACTGGATTAAAAAAAAGAAAAAACAAAATCAAGGCACGGTTCAAACATCAGTAAGAAAAAAGATTAAAAAAAGGGTCACAAGAAACTAACGCCAAATACCAAAATCTGCAAGCAAATTGGACACCATCTACCATAGTCTCAATACAGCTAGCCTACAAGGCACATTTATATAGCAATAAATCAAGAATTTCTGAACTTTAGAAACACAAAATTGGCATAAAACTTAAAACACACAAAACCACAATCATTCAGATCAGGTGAGAAAGAAAAAGCAAATGAACATAAAAAAATGAACTCAAAGAAAAAGAAAAAGAATTTAACACAGGGAACAAGCACCACAGGCCAACTGACACATTAGATTTGCCTATCTATCTAATCTAATGTGATTCAATAGAAAATGAAATTAAACATATGCAAACTTAGTAAAAAGAAATTAAAGTACATTGCAAGTGCTTCAATCAATTCATGAAAATAACAGTCCATTTTGATTGACATCAAATAAAAAGCTTTTAAGAGAATTACTTTACCTGACATAGGTATTCTTTACCATCCAACTTTCTTGAAGTCAGGGTTCAAGCAAGTGAACTACGTATAGCATTATTGTCATGTCATAATAAATGCCTAATTTTAGATTCTTTTCAAGTAAAACCTAGCCAATGTCTCACAAGCACAATGTGTGCAGGAGGAAAAGAACAATAAAACACTTGGAAAATTAAGATACAGAATAAGGAATTGAGTAACAATGTAATCTGTGCCAAATGGTTCAAACATTAAAGTCAAAATTTCAAATCAAATGAACTGCAAACACTTAGAAAACCCCAGTCAAATAATTATAATAGAAAAACCAAACAAAGAATTTTAGTCACCTTCAAATCAAGGTGATGGATGTTAAACGAAGACTCCACAAAAACACAAACACCACTCAAATTACCAAATATCGAACAAGAAATAGAAAAGATGTGAACTGTACATAAATAATAATTTTGAAATAATTGAGTGCACAGACTTTAATTTCATTTTTTCTTTGTGGGAAATCTCTCTCTCTAAAATATCAGCCTTTTTTCTTGTCATACACAATAGTTGATTCAAGCGTCAAACAAAGCATCATCGGCAGTAACATTTTTTTCAAAATTCTATCGAACAACCCACTTTTCTACTTCTTAAAATTATTACTCCGTAAGTGCATTGTTTATATGCTGCTTAATGTCAGAAAAAGGGGGAATTCGAGCATATCACCATAATATAATTTTTTTCAAGAAAAAAGGAAGTAAGGAGGGATTACCGATGGTAGAGCATGTTGCTTGATATGGCTAGCTGCTGATTGTAGTCATGGGGCTTTAATCATCTTTAGTTGCAACACATTTTCATTCTAAAGAAAGGTTTAAATCAGTTACAATAATTAAAAAGAAAAAGAAAAAAACACAAGGAAGTAAAATCATAGAATTACCAATGTTGAGTATAGGAATAGCCAACTAAGATGGCGATGGAGCTTTATTCACCGTCAATCTCTATATTAAGTATTTCTAATGAAAAAAATGCAGATCTGCTTGAGATAATATTAAAGAAAAAGATAGAAGCAAATATGAATATCAATAAAAGGAAAGAGAAAAAGATAAGATAATGAAGAAGGAAAGAAGGAAATAAAAGGAAAGAGAAAGAGATAAGATAATGAGAAGGAAAGAAGGAAAAGAGAGATCAGAAAATTTTTTTGAGAACAAAGAGGAGCAGCAGACCAACAGAGGGAGAGCGGCGCACAAAAACCCTAGCAGAAACTATAGAAACAGAGAAAGGATCGGCAAAGAACTGAGATAAGAGAAAAGTTTGGAGAGAGAAATCCTTGTAACGGAACGACTTCGAAATCGATCCATGGCTAGCAACCTTTACACGATCAGCCTCAACAACATGAACCAAGGTCATCCAACCACGTGTAGATTCAGAGACATTTGATATGCGAAGAAGCTTAAGCGCAGCAGCAACGGTTGAAGCAATAGCAGCAATAAGATAAATATATAGAACAAGCATACCCAAAGGCAACTAAGACAAAACCTATAAAACATAAAAACCTGAAGATTCGTCAAAAGGCTCACATGGAATGGCACCAAGCTCGGGCTCAAAACTAACAGTAGAAGCAGCAGCAGTTGTCATTCCTGCAAAACAAAAAGGCACAGATAAGACCGGTTCAAAGGAGAAAGAAAAGACAACTCAAACGAAAAGGCGATCACAAAAAAAATAAGGGGGAAAAAACAGTACCTTTACGCAGATTTGGAAGACAAATGCACAAGGTTACCCCGAAAACAACAAAATAACGCAAAAAAATTAAAAGACAAGAACAACAATCGTAAAATAGGCAAAGAGGGGAAAAATGGAAAAGACACAGAAGAAAATTCCGACAAAAGATCAACCTTTGCAGGAACGCAAACAGCTGGAAGAGGAAGCCTAGAAAATAAAAAGACAAGAACAACACCTGTAAAATTCAGCATGCAAGCGAAAATACAACCAAAAAAAAAAGAAAAAAGCACAGAAGAAATTTCCGACAAAAGAGTAAGGTTGAAGAACGCAAATAGCTGGGAGAGGAACCCTAGAAAAATATCACAATCATTAAAAGGAAGAGCCAAAAACTGAGATAGGAAGGAGAAAAAGGAATCGTACCTCCAATTGCTGAGTAGAAGAGAAGAAATCTCAGGTAAAGGACGGAGGCCATAAATCCAAAGGATAAAATCCATCGTGTAATACGCCTTACTCCAATTAATAAGAAAAAGATTCTCAGCACACTCATTCATAACCACAGCAGACGGATGACGACAAAATGGAAAAGCATGCGGGTGCATCGATGAGATGAGATGAAAAGAGGTGAAAGGGAAGATATTAAGAAAGAACCAGAGCAGACGGAGGAGGGAAAAAAAAATGGAAAAGCACGTGGGTGCATTAATGAGATGCCTCCAATTGCTAGGTAGAAGAGAAGAAATTTCAGGTAAAGGACGGAGGCCATAAATCCAAAGGATAAAATCCATCGTGTAATAATAAAAAAATGGAAAAGCATGCGGGTGCATTGATGAGATGAGATGAAAAAGAGGTGAAAGGGAAGATATTAAGAAAGAACCAAAGCAGACGGAGAAGGGAAAAAAAATGGAAAAGCACGTGGGTGCATTAATGAGATGAGACGAGACGACGAGAAGAGCTGAGGCGAAAAATAATAATACAGTAGCACGCGAGGACCTTCCTTCGGCACGTGAGGACGACGAAAAGCTTATGAACAGTAACCATCCTTCGCTGTTAGTCTTATATGTTGATGATGATTGATGATAATAAAAAACAAATTCATGCCTGATATAAATACTTCGTTTTGGCCAGTTGGGTGCGTGCCTCCATAAAAAAGATCTAGTTTAAAAAAAAAAAAAAAAAAGTACGTGCCTCCATTGTCCAATACGTAGATCCGCCAGCGAGATGCACAACTTCAAAACTCATCCTTCTCGAAGGAATCTGGCCACAACTCTTCAACATGATGAATTTAAACTCGATTTTAAAACTTCTGTGGTCTCAAGCTTGTGGAATTTTTTTTTTCTGTTGGTTATCTTATTGAGTTATTTATTAATTAGTTTGAGGAATATAATAGGAAGGAGACTGATCCGTGCACGACGTTCTTGTTGGGGTTAATTCCACTTTCCCTGCTTTTAAGTTTGCAGCCCATTATTACTCTGCATCTTTAACTTTTATTTTACACATTTCAAATCCTAAAATCATCAGAGCGTCTAATATCAGCCCGACAACTCATATTGCACGTGGAAGTGCTAAAAAACAGATATGCATTCACTCTTCTTTTTTTTTTCCCTGGATATTCTAAAGAACCATTCCTACTTTGTACGGTTGAGAAGCTAGCGTAGGTGGATATTATTCCTATAATTACATTAATATTTTGCGATGCCATGGATGAATTGCTAATTTCAGGGTGCAAAATGTTCAAAATTAAATTTTGAGGTGATTTTAATGTGAAAAATATTTGGAAAAAAGTTTGAGATGCAAAGTGGAAATCATTGAAGACGGTGAAAAGTGAAATTAGTTCTCTTTTTTTTTGTGGCATTACTGATACAAACAACCCTGCTAAATAATTCGATCTCTTGGCCTTCAAAATTGAAAGTATATCAAATTTTCTTTTCTCTGTCTTGTAGCATTTGTATACCATAAACCTGAGGGGAGCGGAGAAATGGGTTGGACTGTACGAAGAACAAGAGTATAAGTGAGAGATTTTGAATTCGAAACATCTCACTACAAGGAAAAAAGAAAAGTATAGCATAAACTTGATGGTTTTATAATAGAAATTAATTCATCATCAAACAATCTGCAAAGATATTAATTGACCCTTTGTCTACATTTCCCCGGACTATGTTTTCTCGTTTGTTGGACTTGACATGTGCGATAGCCAGGCCTCTAAGGGTGCGTTTGTTTGATGAGAGTAAAGTTTGAAAATTGAAATATGAAATATGAAATCTAAAGTCTGAATTCATTAAATTATTAAATAGTTAAGTATTAAATCTAATATATTTGAGTATATATCATATTCAATGATAAATGAATAATTTGTTACTTATTTTTACGAGTAAGTTTTGTTTAGAAAATTTAATGCTACTTAATTAATTTATATGTTTAACTTTTGGTTATCAAACGCATCGAACATGTTAAGATTTGAATCCATTAAATTTAAATGTTAAATTACGTTATGGCATAAGTCTGCTGTTGGCATTTGTTAGTTGTGATGCTTTGAAGTTTTTCGATTATTGTTGAGCCGCAACTTCTTAGATACAGGATACATCCAGTCCCAAAGAAAGTAGTTGTACAATTAGCTAGTGACATCTTGGCTGGCAGCGTCCAATGTGAGATTCACTATGATTAAAGGATCATTATCATTGCCTAGGTCCATTTTGATTGCCAATTTTATGCTCAAAGCACGCAAGGCGAAAATATGTAAAACATTTTAGATTTACTTTTTAATTATATTTGTGATCCAGCAAAGACTTTAGACCTTAGAAAGCGATGAAAAATAAGATTGAAAAATGAACAAAATTATTCGATACTCGAATCAAGCTTAACTTGGTAAGAGCTCATACGTTCAAACTTGATTTGATCACTAATCAAACCAAATTCGAATAACATTTTATATTCAATAACATTTTATTGAACACTACCCAATGCAAGGGCGGAGCTTTACCAATTGAGTTTGTTCAAAGTCAGTTTGCGATAAAAAATTCGTTCAAACTTAGTTTGGTAAATAAATAAATAAAACTTCAAATTCGTTAAAATGATCAAACAAGTTTGGACACTGGGATATTCGGGTTGATTATGATTGTTTATACCCCCAATGGGGAAAGCGAAGGTTTGAGAATTTGGAACAGTAGGATGCGTAGCTATTGTTTGTACCAGCTAACTGACCTATAACGGTTAAGAGTTGCCAGATTATTTACCGGCCAAACTAGGGAGATACGCTTAAGGGCCTTGTTAATTTGTAATTATTTTTATTCAACTTGTTAATTTCATTAAACTAAAATATCGGTTTAGTCATTTTACGGTTTTCTTAGTAATTAAGATTAACAACTACTAATTGCACAGGTTGATGTTTGCAGCATTAAGATGTATTGTATTTAATAACAATGGTTGCATTTTGAAAGAAATAATTAATTGGCAATCTAAGAAAACAAAGATGTGTAACTTATCACTTCATTTTTAACATTTCGATAAGTGAAAAAGTTATTCCTCGTGCTTAAAATTTATTTCTGTGATGTTGGAAGTTTCTACTTAACTTGAACTCTTTCTTTAGCTAGAGGTGTCAAAATGAGTGACTTGGACGGGTTTGAATTGGGTAAAATGGGTAATGGGTATAAGTGAGTCAACCCATTTAAACCCAATTAATTAGATGGGTACAAATTGGTAAGTCAAAAAATGAATTAGGTAACCCAATTACCCATTTATAATCCATTTATTTTAACTTTTTGTAAACTCATTTAAATTCATTTTTGCAAACTAAGTTATTAATTTATACCACTCTTTGCACCCATCATTAGTTTTAAAAATTTACTTATAATGTTCAATAAGTCTAATTATCAATTTTTTCCTATCCGTACTCTATGTTGCAAAATTAAATACTATTTAATAATTGAATAATAAGAATATAAAAATTTAAATTAAGTACTATAAAAATTAACATAAAAATTTAATCCAAAAATTTTGAACCCCTAATATTTTTTTCATAATGTAAATTTAAAATTTCATTTTGGAAATGTAGGAAAAGAGGCTAAAACTTATCATAAATTGGTAATGCTAAAAAATGAGTAAGTTAACAAATTAAGAGAAAATAAACTGATAAAATAAAATCAACAAATAAAGATAATAATGAAACAAAAGTAGTTAACATCATAACAAAATGAAAAATCTGAAGAAAAAAAATTGGGAGGGAGAAGAGAGGAGATTTGGGGGAAAATAATTCTAAATGGATTAATTGGGTTTGATTGGTTATCCAATAATACCCATTCATTGAATGAGTATTCTTGGGTAACCCATTTTGCATATGAATGGGTATTATTGGGTAACACATTTATACCTATATGCAAAAACTAAAAAAATCCATACCCATCTATTCATGGGTGGGTATGGATAAATTTAATAAAATGGGTTGATTTGCCACCTATATCTTTAGCCCGTTTTGTCCTTTTCTTCCCACTCTCTCTTTAACTAAGGGTAACTAGGCTAATATGCAAGAAATTCTTTCCTGATTACAAGGACAAATCTTGGTTAAATTTATTTGGCCTCATATGGTTGCACTTTTTTACATAAATCTCCTATAGTTTTAAATGTTATAAATATATCCCCATGTTTTGGACTAAAATATTAAAGGATAAATTACTTAGAACATCCTGTGATTTTATATAATGCAAGATGACCCCCCCCACAAGATTTCAAAATAGTCACATAATTCCCCATGGCATTTATCTAAAGTGAAAAATGGACGAAATGTTCAATCAGTTATAACATTTATACCAAACGAGCTCTAAAAGCATGCGTGATAAAACCTTAATCTCCATATAACCCCTAAATGATTTGTATAAGTATCTACTTTATCCCCTTATGATTTTTTCATTTACCCATATAATCTCCCTATACTTCTATACAAGGAGTTAAGCCATCAATTGATTTAGTATTTAAGTAAGGGGAGTATTAGTATTTCAATTAATGGCATTATATATAATATTTTCTATCAAGTTTTTACTTTACATATAACCATAGAAGATGAAGTGAATATTTTGAAATATTAGGGGGATTATTTGACAATTGACGAAACCATAGAGGGATTATATACAATTTACCTGATATTAAATTAACGTGCTCCTCTACAATGAAACTAACTAAAATGTCAAAAGCATTCCCAACATTAAGACTGAGATTATTTGTTAACCCCAGTGATTATGTATAACTTTTCAAAATACAGAAGCATTATGTAAAATAAAAAAATTAACAATAATAATCCACAAGGTACAAATGTGTAATTTACCCTATATTTATATATATCTTTTTTCCTTTTTATTTTTTAGCGAGAAAAAGTGAGATTTTAGGCTTTTGATAGGAATAATGTTAACATTTTAGCTTATTCCATCACGGAGGGACGAACGATACCCATCATTTTGACACTGTACTTACAAAGCGTGGGCGTTATGTACGTTTTACCATACGGTGATTATACGAAAACGCACTAAATAACAGGGACTTAAAGTACTAATTTATCCAAAAAAAATATTTTAAAAAGAAAAGCAAGTCTAGGTGCGGATCCATTCACAAAAATCATTATTCAAACCAAGATGACTTCCAGATTATTTGTACGCTGTTGAATAGTAATTTATTATCACATTTCTCTTCTTCAACTTCCCACCAGAAAAGGGGGCAAAAAAGATTTTTCAGGAAAGAAATAGTTGCTAGCTCTGCAGTAGGTGAGATTTGCTTTTCCCTTGAAATTTGACAGTGAAACTGAGGAAAATCCCTGCATGAGAGATGGAGATGGCCTCCAGGCCCTCCACTTGCGTCGATCGTGTCTTACTTGATCTAGAGTTGCTCATGAACAACTACAAACGCCATTATGTTGCTGTTTCCGATGTTGCAGATGCAATCAGGGACGTGAAATTCCTCAAAACATTTATTGTGTGTGCAAGAAAGTGGAGCCAAAGCAATGATTTGTACTTGGAATCTGATAATGTTGTTAAGAAGGTGAGTCTTCCATCCTTCCTATCTTGCATTGACGATACTGTTCACAAATATGAGGAGGACATTCACTCTCTTTCCCTTAGATCAGAAACTGAAGAAATGTCACATACTCTTGACGAACCACTGATCTCTAAATTCCGAAAACAGATCAAATCATTTAAGCAAGAAATCATCCAAGTGTACGTTATGTTGGTAAGCAGCAGGTCATTGCAGTCAAATTCTTGCAGGAGAGATGATGAATTAATGGAATTCATAGACCTCATTCTACAAAATCTAGCGGATTTGATGCCTTCCGATTCATTTCTTCGTAAGGAATCCCAAGTTAATAAATCTTCTCTTTCTGCTGCATTGAGTGCCGAATTGCAAGCCCTTGAAGTAAAGCTAACATTCTTGAAAAGCTTCATTCCCTTTGCCAAATTACGAGGAACTGTAGATATTCCTGCCTTGCTATTGTCTCACTTTGAGGTGGTGGCTTTGAACGCAGCACGCCTCTCTTACATGTGCTCTTTTTCGGATGATGATCCTGAGAAAAGGTGGACGAATCGTAGGATCTACTCCAAGATATATAAACAACAACGGAAGATCAGAGCTGTTGATTTTCAACTCTATGAGATTTATATGGAAGCTCTTGGATGTACGAGATCCTCAAAATCTTCGCAGAGTACAATGATGGATAAGCAGATATTGATCAACTTCAATGATTCTCTGCTAAGTTGTCTCTGGGAGCTATTATGCTGCAGCTCTAGCTTTATGGATTCTATGAAAGATAAAATGCAAACACTCTATGCAGGACTGAGATTCTTGAGGAGCATATTAAGGGAGCATTATGAGAAGATGGATGAAGAAAATGAAAAAGTTGGAGCTCTTCTTAGTGAGGCAGGGATTATAATTTTTTTCCCTTCTCTAAACAAAGTGAAAGAAGGAGAAGTTAGCTGCTTAGAATCCAAAGATGCTCTTGTTTGTTATGATATGCTGGCTAATACCAACACCCATATCAAGCATTTTAAGGATAAGATCAGTGGCCCAAGCATTATAGATAGTCTTCCTAATTACTCTCATAGCTTAAGAGTACAAGAAGTTTGCAAGCCTTCCAGGCACATGCCATCTAAAGAAAATATACCAACAGTCCATGAAGTCATGGTTGGTCTTGATGATGAGGCAGAAAAAGTAATTGAACGACTTAGAAGCGGATCAGAACAGCTGGAATTTGTTCCCATTGTCGGAATGGCTGGGCTTGGTAAAACAACTTTAGCCAAAAAAGTTTACAATGATAGTTCAATTATCTATAACTTCCACATTCGTCTTTGGTGTACTGTTTCTCAAGCATTTAACATGAAAAGCTTGTTAATGCAAATTTTGTGCTCTGATGGAAAACAGTCTAGCATGGATGAAGAGCTTAAAAACTTGAATGAACATGAATTGCTTCAAAAGCTCTATCAAAGGCTGAAGACGAAGAGCTATCTTGTTGTTTTTGATGATGTCTGGGACATTAAGGTATGGAATGAGCTGAGAATTTCATTCCCCGATGACAAGAAGAGAAGTAGAATCCTTTTCACGAGTCGATTTTCTAATGTGGCTTCACAGGTTCAATATGCTGGAGAACCTCACAATCTTCGCCCACTCCATGAGAAAGAATGTTTTGAATTATTGCAAAAGAAGGTGTTTGGAAAAGAAGATTGTCCTCAAGTATTGCGTGGAATTGGGATGGAGATTGCCAAAAAGTGTACGGGATTGCCACTTGCAGTTGTTGTTGTAGCTGGAGTCCTAGCAACTATAGAGCATGATATTTTGGTTTGGGAAGATTTTGCTAGAAGTTTAACTTCAACCATGGTGTCTAGTGCAGACCAGTGCAAAAAGTCATTGGAGCTCAGTTACGAGCATTTACCATATCACTTGAAGGCTTGCCTGTTGTACTTTGCTGCATTTCGAGAAGATGAAATAATTTATGCAAAAGATTTGATATGTCTATGGGTTGCAGAAGGTTTTGTAGAAAAAATTGAAGGCAAGAGATCAGAGGACATTGCAGAAGAATATCTGATGGACCTGATTGGTCGCAATTTAGTTATGGCAAGTAAAAGCAGATCCATTGGTGGAGTCAAAACTTGTTACATTCACGATTTGATATTTGAGTTCTGTAAGACCGAGGCAAAAGAAAAGAATTTTCTTCAGGTCCTGCATGGATATGATGAGCTTTCTACCTTTGATGAGCCTCCCACCCCACCTCGGTTGTCCATTTGCTCCAGTGGGGAAGATTTTATAAGGTCAAGGCTATTTTGTCCACATTTAGGTACTCTGCTATTCTTTGATAGGATTCAAGGATATGATTTTCAGTTGGTTAACGTTTCCTTCCTTTTTTGCATCTACAAACATCTTAAAGTTCTGAATTTAGAGCGCATTTACCTAAGTCTGACAAAGCTTCCAACTGAAGTCGAATCACTTCTTTTTTTGAGGTATTTAGCCCTTACAGCTTTGTGGATGAGATCCATTCCATCGTCTATCGCCAAGCTCTCACATTTAGAAACCTTTCGTCTAAGATCTTGTGAGATGGTTTTTTTGCCAAAAAGCGTTTGGAACATGAAGGAGTTGAGGCACGTACATGTTAGCGGGGGCTCTGTTGTTCTTCCTTTTGCTTCCAATGACAACGTTTTTGAAAACCACTCCACTTTACCCAATTTGGACACACTCTCCAGTCTGTGTCTTTATCTTGATCAAGAAGCAGAGAGCATATTGGAAAGGATTCCCAACATTCGCCAACTAAAAGTTTTCAATGATCGGGAACTAGATAGACTATGCTGCAACATGAGTCGACTAGAATGCCTAGAATCACTCACCTTGGAGCTGGGCTCCTTCTTACCAAATCAGCTGGATCATGTTGAGCTTTCTTTTCCCATGAATTTGAAAAAGTTGTGTCTTGCCCGTCTGTGTCTTCCCTGTAGTAAAATGCCACTGATTGAACAACTACCCAATCTTGAGGTCCTCAAATTAAGATGTAATTGTTGAGGATTGGAGTCGAGAAACTGAATTATATCAGTAGGGAAGATAGAAGAAGAGAAATCAGGAGGGAGAAAGGAGAAGAATTTCAGAGGGAGGTGGGAAAAGATAATGAGAGAGACTGAGATATTATTGAGAAGAGAATTAAGCAACAATGAATCTGATGATTATTACAATTGCAGATGTAATACTTATACAAATCCTAGTGTTCTTTCAATTACCAGATTGCTAGCAATTAACTAACTTTCCCGCCAAAACTCTTCATTCTGTTAGGACCAGGCTTTGTCACGTGATTCTTCCCCTGTGCTCCCATTTCTCATGCTACCTCCTCTGCTGACTCTTTCTGGTAGTTAGTTTAATAGCTTCCCATGAATTCAGGTCATAACAATGCCTCCCCCTAAAAATAATCCTAGTCTCTAGGATTGATTAAATTGGAAGGTAGGGAATTGAGCATGAATGAATGTCCAATCTTCCCAGGTGGCTTCCTCAGGTTCCATGTTTTCCCATTGCACCAACACCTGTTCGACCACTTGCCCTTTTCTAAAGATTGTCCTCTGGTCTATAACTGCTGAGGGAGCAACACCAAACTCTCCATCATCATTTAGGGTAGGCAAGGCAGTGCTAAGAGGAGCCCCCTTAGGTGACTTCTTGAGTAAGGAGACATGGAAAACAGGATGTATGGTTGATCCTGCTGGTAACTTCAACCTGTAAGCTACAGTCCCCAACTTTTGCTCTACTTGATATGGCCCATAATACTTAGCCGCCAGTTTTATGTTCCTTCTTACAGCTACAGAAGTTTGTCTGTAAGGCTGAAGCTTCAAATAAGCCCATTCTCCTACTTCAAATTCCCTGTCACTCCTCCCTTTATCTGCCATTTGTTTCATCCTGTTCTGAGCCTTCAACAGATTCTCCTTGAGCAAGGAGTTCCAGCCCACTCGCTCTTGTGCCCAATCCTCCACTGCAGCTACTAGTGTGCTATCAGGCCTCAGGTTCATCTGAGTAGGCTTGTAACCATACAAGGCCTGAAAGGGAGACATTTGTAAGCTATTATGGTGGTTAGTGTTGTACCACCACTCTGCAGCAGGTAGCCATTTCCTCCATTTCCCTGGTTGATACATACACATACTTCTCAGGTAATTTTCCACACACCTATTCACCCTCTCAGTCTGTCCATCAGACTGAGGATGATATGCAGATGACAGATTTAATTCTGTGCCTAGCATTTTGAAGAGCTCTTGCCAGAACAAGCTAGTAAAAGCCTTGTCCCTATCAGAGACAATGTGCGTTGGTAGGCCATGAAACCTAAAAATCTGATCAAAGAATGCCTCTGCGACACTTTTAGCAGTATAGTGAGAGGTCATTGGGATAAAATGGGCGTATTTAGTGAATCTGTCCACCACCACGTAGATCACATTACAACCAAAGGACTTGGGTAATCCCTCTATGAAATCCATAGAAATTTGTTGCCAAGCTTGGTCAGGTATGGCCAGTGGCTGCAGCAAACCTGGATAGGGGCAATTTTCATTTTTGCTCCTTTTGCAGACCTCACAGCTCTGTACATATTGCTCCACTTCCTTCTTCATTCCAGGCCAGTATAGATAACTCTTAATCCTCTGATAAGTACCAAGATTCCCAGAATGTCCCCCAAGACTAGAATCATGAAAACAAGAAACCAGCCTTTGTCTTAATTCAGAATCCGCTCCTATCCACACCCTTCCTTTGAACCTTAGAATTCCCTGGTTATAGGAGTAATCTGGTAATGCGTCAGCTCCCATAGCTAACTTCAGCAGAACCTCCTTGGCCATCTCATCACTGTTGTAGCTCTCAGCTACCATGGTCAACCACTGAGGCTTGATGGCAGTGATAGTATGCACAGATGTTTCTGCTGTATTCTCCAAGTCACCCCTCCTTGACAAGGCATCAGCAACTACATTTTCCTTCCCTTTTTTGTATTGAATCTCATAATCCATTCCCATAAGTTTAACCAGCCATTTTTGTTGGAGAGAGGTGTTAATTTTCTGATCCAACAAGTATTTGAGACTCTCATGATCAGTTTTGATAATGAAATGATGTCCCATCAAGTAGTGTTTCCACTTGTGAACTGCAGTGATGAGTGATAAGAGTTCCTTCTCATAGGTAGACCTGGCTTGATTATTCTGTCCCAGTACTTGGCTGTAGTAAGCTATTGGCCTCCCCTGTTGCATTAGAACAGCACCAATGGCTTTCTGACTGGCATCAGTTTCCAGCAGGAATGGCTTTGAGAAGTCAGGTAATGCCAACACTGGTGCTGCACTCATTGCCAGCTTCAATTGTTGGAATGCAGTTTCTGCAGCAGTACTCCATGCAAATTGATCCCTTTTTAGCAGTTCAGTAAGAGGCTTAGCAATCTCCCCATACCCCTTAACAAACCTCCTATAGTAACCTGTCAAGCCCAAGAATCCTCTGAGAGCCTTTACACAGGAGGGCGTTGGCCAGGACAGCATAGCTTCCACCTTGGATGGATCAGTTTTCACCCCTGCACTAGTAATTATGTGTCCCAGATACTCTACTTGGTCTTGACCAAAAGAGCACTTAGATATCTTTGCAAACAAAGAGTGTTGTCTCAGGGTTACCAAAACTATGGATAAGTGGTGTAGGTGACTCTTGGAGTCTGGACTATAGATTAAAATGTCATCAAAGAACACAAGAACAAATTTCCTTATATAAGGTTCAAAGACAGAGTTCATTAGTGCTTGAAAGGTGGCTGGGGCGTTTGTTAGACCAAATGGCATGACAAAGAATTCATATAGACCAGAATGAGTCCTAAAAGCAGTTTTATGGATGTCATCAGGATTCATCCTGATTTGGTGATAGCCCGATCTCAGATCAATTTTAGAAAAAATCTTGGCTCCATATAGTTCATCCAATAAATCATCTATAATAGGTATAGGAAATTTATCTTTAATAGTGAGGTTGTTCAGTTGCCTATAGTCAATACAAAGCCTCCAGCTCCCATCTTTCTTTTTTACTAAAAGAGCAGGTGATGCAAAGGGGCTATGGCTATCTTGTATAAGGCCAGAGTTCAACATATCTTTCACCTGTCTGTCAATCTCATTTTTTTGTACATGAGGGTATCTGTAGGGAGGAATTTTGAATGGTTGGGCATCTGGTTTGAGGGGAATTTGGTGATCATGGCATCTATTTGGGGGAAGGGTGTTTGGTTCTGCAAAGACATCATCATACTTAGCCAACAACTTAGTAAGAGAATCTGGTTCAGAAATTACCTGTGAGTTGTGAATCTTCACCATACATGCTTGCTGCAATGCCTTCCTGATCTTGTGTTTGACATACTTGTGAGCTGAGGGACCTTGCTGCATCCTTACGTTTGCATTGTTGGAGTCTCCATTTAGCACCACTTGCTCCCCTCCTTTTTCAAAAGACAGATTCAGCTTCTTGAAATCAAAAGTAATAGGACTATAGGACTTCATCCAATCAACTCCAAGGATCAAGTCATAAGGCTCCAGGTCCAATACAAACACATCGTGTGCAAATCTGTGGCCCTGCATGCTCCACTGCATCCCTGGAATCCACTGGTCACATGTCAACTCCTTGCCATCAGCTATCTTGACCTTGAAGGGCCTGTGGTTCTGTACCCTTTCTGGAAATTGCTGAGCCACACTCCTCCTGATAAAGCAATTAGTACTTCCCCCATCTAGCAGGATTGTCAAGTGCTGGTTCATATATTCCCCTTGCATTTTGATAATGCTTGAGGATAATTCCCCTGACAGTGCATGCAAGGTTAGCATCACCTCATGCTCTTGCTGAGTTCCCATGTATTCAATAACCTCCTCCTCTTCTGCTGTGTGATTTTCCTCACCCTTCTCCTCCTCTCCTACTATCATCATGTGGATCCCCTTGCTTTTGCAATTGTGACCTGGACTAAATCTTTCTCCACACCTGAAACATAGGTTGTGATCCTTCCTGTACTGGAATTCAGTGGGGGAGATTTTCTTGAAAACTTGCTGTGAATTAGACTTCCTACTGAATTCTGTTGGTGATGTTCCCGCTTGTCTTGCTCCCGGATCCTGAGCTCCATTTCCTCCTTTGTTAATTCCAAATGAGGTTGAGTGCATGGTATTTCTGAGTATAGGCCTACTGGACTTGTGAACCAGATCCAAGTGATGTTCCTGCCATCTGGCCATCTCAAAGGCAGACTGTAGACTGTCTGGCCTGTGCATCTTCACGGCAGATTTAATTTCCCCCTTCAGTCCACTTAAGAAACTAGAAATGTAGTAGGATTCAGTCAGTTCTGGCATCTGGATCATTACAATAGACCTCAACTCCTCAAACTTCTCCTGATAAGCCAAAACAGTGGAGGTTTGATTGAGTTTGCTAAACTCTTCCACTGCATCAGCCTCTCCCACAGTGCTGAACCTCCTACATATTTCTGATCCAAAATCCTTCCATTGGACTATTCCCCTATCTTTTTTGAAATTCTGATACCAGAGATCCGCCTTTCCTTCTAAGTGCAGTTCCACAAGGTCCATCTGCTGCTCCTCAGTAGTGCGAAATAGTTGGAAAAATTTCTCACACTTCCTGACCCACTCCTTAGGACTGTGGCCATCAAATCTGGGGAAATCCAACCTGGGGACCCCCATGGGCCAGTGTTGCCCCTCTCCTCTAGAGGAATTGCCAAATTCACCATGCCTGGTATTCGAATTTCCCGCATTTCGATTGTTAGGAGTCCTTTCTGCAGAACCATTAGGATTTCCCAAAATGCCTTTGTCCCCCTGCAAACTTCTCAAGATCGAGCTGATCTGGCTACTCACAAAGTTCTTCAGTTCTGCGCTATTTGCTTCCAGTAAGGACCGCATCTCCCTTTGATTAACTTCCAACTTTTCCTCCATGACCTGCTTGTCTGCTATCATGGAATCGAGAACCGCTTGAATCCTGGCATCCTGTTTCCTAAGCTGCTCTTCGAAGCTTTTCATGCGTGTACCTTCTGCCATTATGGATTGTGGAAGAACTTGCAATCCGAGGACCGCAAGCTCTGATACCACTGTTGAGGATTGGAGTCGAGAAACTGAATTATATCAGTAGGGAAGATAGAAGAAGAGAAATCAGGAGGGAGAAAGGAGAAGAATTTCAGAGGGAGGTGGGAAAAGATAATGAGAGAGACTGAGATATTATTGAGAAGAGAATTAAGCAACAATGAATCTGATGATTATTACAATTGCAGATGTAATACTTATACAAATCCTAGTGTTCTTTCAATTACCAGATTGCTAGCAATTAACTAACTTTCCCGCCAAAACTCTTCATTCTGTTAGGACCAGGCTTTGTCACGTGATTCTTCCCCTGTGCTCCCATTTCTCATGCTACCTCCTCTGCTGACTCTTTCTGGTAGTTAGTTTAATAGCTTCCCATGAATTCAGGTCATAACAGTAATTCATTGGATGGCGAAAGATGGGAGCTGATGGAAGGAGGATTCTCTAAGCTTAGGGTCTTGATTATGTCTGATCTAAAGCTTGTGGAGTGGACAGAGACAGACCCTGATAGTGATGATTATTTTCCGTGTCTTCAGCGATTAAAACTCGACTACGTTACTGGATTGAAAATGGTCCCTTCTTGTTTAGGGCGTATATCAACTCTTGAAACGATTGAGATCGACCATTGCAGAGATCGTGTCACATCTTTAGTATTGGAAATTGAAGAAGCACAGAAAAATTATGGAAATGAGGATCTGGAGCTCATCATCAATTGGGTTTCAAACAAGGAAAGTTGTACAAGAAGGTAAAGAGAAGAAAAGTTTTAATTAACTATTTTTCTTCAAAATTCATAAATTTTACAAGATACAAAATGCACAAAAGTGCCAGAAAATGCAAATAATAATAATAATATTCCTGCCAACCAAAAAGAACTTTCTTGCACTTTTCCACACTTTTCCCTGCAAACAAATACTATCTTGAAGGACCTCAACTGGTACAATATTAGCTAATTTTTTTGTCATTACCAATAATTTGCTTCCCAAAACAATTGTTGTTCTGGTTTTTTTTTTTTTTTTTGAATGACATTGATGAACTAAACCTAATTGCCAGTTAAAATGACCAAGACCCAATTCCAAGTACTGGAGCAGGGACTCTAGGTGTGCAATGGGTTACTTGATTCTCCCTGTTCCCGAAGAGTTTGCTTAATCCGATATACCCGAATGGGATGGTTATTTCTTTTACAAATAATTATGAATTTGTAGACAGGGCAAGTAGGCTCGTATCCTCAGGGACTGGATATATTTGTTTCTTAAGAAATCCAAAGTAACACATGGGGTGATTTTGTAGGAACGACAGCAATCAAATAAATTCAAATAAGAAAATAAAAATAAATAACTAACTAGAAATTAAACCACAATTCACTGAATTTAGAATAACAATAATTAAAGACCTAAATCAATTAAAACAAGGAAACAATTAAAAATAAAATAAAGTAGGTAACTAAAAGTCAAATGGCACTTCACTAAAATCAAGATAATATTAACTAAAGATCTAGCCAAGAAATAACTTCAGCAATGGTTCACCTAATTGATCATTGAAATAAAGGCAATTCCGATTATTTAACTGTAGGCTAAGAATCGATGGACGTATCGGGCGCTAGGGTCCTTACAAAAGGAGCCCCTAGACCGAGAAGGGTCGTATCGGTGCCGATCGGTAGACATGTCTTCCCACACAGCGCGGTAGCAGGAGAGAAAAGGCTCGATGTAATCGCAGGCACTCTCACCATACTCCCTAGTCTCAGCATACTCTCGAGTAATGAATCCAAATGCCAAATTAAATTGGGTAATTGAAAAATTAAATTCCCGACCCATCAGACGAAAACGGATGACATTGGGCGTTTCAACGGTGAACCTCGTGGGCAACTCAAATTCAAAGGTAGAATAAAACTCCCGAGTCAGCTTGACAAAGGCGGGGCATAAGATATCTAGATATGGGCGCCACCCGATAGCTGTAAACATCTGCTCGACCTCCTCTCGTATGCCTAGGCCCATCACGGTTAATTTTTCCCAAGTTTTACAAGGTATAATACGCCGCTCACAGACCTTAGCATATCTCTGCTGATCGGCGGGTCTAGTGAATGTTAGGTGCCCTCCGAAGTGAGTTGGGGTATCCACTTGAGCACCCCTACCCCTACCCAAACGGGTTCGAGCACCAGAAGAGGAAGGTAGGTTGGTAGGTGTATTCACAGGAATGGAGGCTTGAGGAGGGGGTTGAGAACGAGGGGCTCTAGACCTAGAGGATGATTTTGGTCTCACCATATTCCCCAACAGTCAGCAGGAACAACAAGATGCCGAATGTCCAACGCCCAGTGTAACCAGCAAATACCGAGTTAATCAGCCAGCAAATGGACAATAGAGTCACCCACAATTTATACCAGTTTCCCAACAAAGCAACAATGATACTCAGGAACTACAGGAAGCCTAACTGATAACCACAACTAGCAACTGGCAGAGGTTATTCAATAAGATGGTCCAACAAAGGCAGTAAACGACTCAATTGAAATGAAAACAGAATGCAAGTGAGATCAAGAGACCAAATACACCCAGTAATCCAAAATTAGTTAACCAACTTCAAGAAACAATGCATGGGTCACAATGCCTTTCCAATTCAACAAACAACCCAGAAATCGCGCCACCTCAGTCCCAACAATTCAAGCAATAAGCCCCCGGCTGTCAACAATAGAGTAGATGAAACAATCCCAATGACCGACCCACACTAATGAAAACTCTAAACACAGCAATGGTTCGATTCCACAAGTAGATGACGCTCAACAGTGTGCTAACGCACCATCAATAGCAATGAAAAATGCTAATCAGACAACCCAAGAGCAAAGGAACGGGCAATCATCCATCAAGCCAAAACAAAAGAACTCAAATCCAAACAAAAACACAATAAATAGTCCAAAGGATAGCTCCCACGGCCAACAATAACAATTGTCTACCAACCCAGACAGCTTAATTAGTACGAAGAAATTGGTGAGCAAGTCTCAAATACCTCCACCGTAAAAGGGGCGAGTGGGGTGAGAGAGCTGGCGGCTTGCAGAGGCGAGGCGGTCTGATAGGGTCGCGCGCAGAGAGAGAGCAATCGGCCGGCAGTAGCGGAGGGAGAGTCGGCAGCGCGCAAGTGAGACGCAAGCAGTGAGCAGCGGCGGCGTACACAGGCGAGGCGTGTTACGCACCTGTGGAGACCGAGCTGGAGCCGGAATAGGAGCAATCTGGCGTGCGGTGGGAGCAGAGCGGCGGCGAGTCCGCGCGGTAGAGTTGGGAGGGGTGCGGTGGCGCGTAGCGGCGTGGCATAGGCCGCGCGCTTGGGTGTTTGGCTCAGGGAGAGCTCGCACAGAGCAGCGCTGGCGCGCAGCAGCGGCGCTGCGAAGTGGATCGCTGCTGAAAAAGGGAGATGTTCTGAGCAGCGGCGGCGCGCAAGTGACGTGTGAAGTGGAGATCTGCTGGTTGGCGGCGTGGAGCCGGAGATGGAGGTGGGCACGGGCGACGGACAGAGCAAAACAGAGGAGAAGAAAGAAAGAAGAAGAAAGAAAGAAAAAGAAAGGAAAGAAAGAAAAGAAAAGAAGGAAAAGAAAAAAAAAACTGTTTTGGCTTTTTTTTTCTTGTCTTTAGGCTCCATTTAAGCCACAGAGAAAAAAAAAATTTTTGTACGGAAATTAAATTTTTCTTTTTTTTTCTTTTTTTTTAAAAAAAAAATTTCTCCTTTTTGAATTTTTGGAAACTAAAGCTATGGTGATAAGAAGAATTTTTTTTTTTTTAATCCTTACCTTTCCCGCGAACGTGACGCGAGCACGTCATGAGAGCAAGAGAGCTTGCTGACCCTGAGCTTCCTGGGCGTCATGATGCGAGCGTGTCATGAGAGCAGGAGAACTCTCTGACCGTGAGCGCTCCCCACGTCATCGCGCGGGCGCGTCATGACAGAAGAACACCTACAAATCAGCAAAAACGAAAATTTCAAACCCGAAACCAATCAAATTTAAGGAAAACATATTTAAACTACCACAAGAAATCAAAACAAACAATTAAAAGAAACAATTGGGTTGCCTCCCAATGAGCGCCTTTCTTTAATGTCTTTGGCTAGACATGGTTAAGTGTCACTGATTAGGACACGGTGGTGCGTCTAGACTTATTGTCTCCACCTCTCCCCTCAAAAAACCTTCGTAATAATGTTTGAGACAGTGTCCATTCACCACAAACTTGTTGTCTGTCTTAGCACTCCGGATTTCAACTGCGCCATAGGGAAAAACGTGAGTCAAAACAAAAGGTCCAATCCAACGGGAACGTAGCTTACCTGGGAATAACTTGAGTCTGGATTGGTACAGGAGGACCTTCTGACCAATTTCAAAGGTTTTTCTTGAAATTTGTTGATCATGAAATGTCTGGCTTCTCTCCTTATAAATTAATGCATTTTCGTAGGCTTCGTTCCGGATCTCCTCCAATTCTTGCAAATCCAACTTTCGTTGGGCACCGGCTTCCTCTAAGTTCATGTTGCATTGCTTTATCGCCCAAAAGGCTTTGTGCTTGAACTCCACTGGAAGGTGACACGGCTTCCCAAACACCAACTTGTACGGTGACATCCCTATAGGAGTCTTGTATGCAGTGCGGTAGGCCCAGAGCGCGTCCTCCAACCGTTGACTCCAATTTTTCCTATCGGAGCGCACCATTTTCTCCAAAATGGACTTAATCTCCCTATTCGATACCTCCGCTTGACCATTGGTCTGGGGGTGGTACAACGTTGAGACCCTGTGGAGTACACCATACTTGCGAAATAACGCAGTTATGGTTTTGTTGCAGAAATGCGTTCCCCTATCACTGACAATAACTCTTGGCATTCCAAATCGCACAAAAATATTAGACCTGATAAAATCTACAACTACTTTCGAGTCATTAGTCCGAGTGGCCTTGGCCTCCACCCATTTAGACACATAATCAACTGCCAACAAAATATATATAAAACCAAATGAAGTAGGAAAAGGCCCCATGAAATCTATACCCCAAACATCAAAAATTTCAACAAAAATCAACGGGACTTGGGGCATATGATCTCTACGGGCTATATTACCTACCCGTTGACAGCGATCACATGACTTACAAAACACATAGGCATCCTTAAACAATGAAAGCCAATAAAATTCACTTTCTAAAACCTTATGAGCAGTTCTCTTAGGTCCAAAATGACCCCCACATGCAAAAGTATGACAAAAAACTAAAATCGATTGAAATTCCATTTCACTTACACATCTCCTCATCACTTGATCTGCACATCTCTTCCATAAGTACGGGTCATCCCAAATAAAATATTTGGCGTCGCTTTTCATTTTATCTCTCTTCGATTTTGGCCAACTTGCAGGAAAATTACCAGTTACCAAATAATTGACCAGATCGGCATACCAAGGCATTTGAGAATTTAAAGAAAATAAATGCTCCTCAGGGAATGCATCCTTCAATGGTTCATTATCCTCCCCAACGGATATACGACTCAAATGGTCGGCTACTAAATTCTCTGAGCCTCTTTTATCCCTTATCTCCAGGTCAAATTTCTGTATGAGCAATATCCACCGTATGAGCCTCGATTTTGCATCTTTCTTAGTCATCAGGTACCTCAATGCTGCATGATCAAAAAATACAATCACTTTAGTACCTAACAAATATGACTTGAATTTTTCTAAAGCAAAAATAACTGCAAGAAACTCCTTCTCAGTGGTGGAGTAATTCAACTGGGCCCCATTCAGGGCGCGGGATGCATAATAGATGATGTGATTCTTAGTCATCAGGTACCTCAATGCTGCATGATCAAAAAATACAATCACTTTAGTACCTAACAAATATGACTTGAATTTTTCTAAAGCAAAAATAACTGCAAGAAACTCCTTCTCAGTGGTGGAGTAATTCAACTGGGCCCCATTCAGGGCGCGGGATGCATAATAGATGATGTGAGTTGCCTTTCCTACTCGCTGCCCCAATACAGCCCCTACAGCATGATCACTGGCATCGCACATGATCTCAAATGGCAAACCCCAATCGGGGGGTTGGATGATCGGGGATGAGGTCAGTAACTCTTTCAACTTGTTAAAGGCATTTTCACACTTGTCATCGAACTCAAAGGTCACATCTTTTTGTAAGAGTTGGAACAATGGGGCTCCAATTTTTTAAAAATTCTTGATGAACCTTCGGTAAAAACCTGCATGTCCAAGAAAAGAACGCACCTCCCGCACATTTGCGGGGTAAGGTAATGCCGATATAATGTCTATTTTAGCCTTGTCAACTTCAATGCCCTTAAACGATACAATATGACCCAGAACTATCCCGTACTCAACCATAAAATGACATTTTTTCCAATTAAGCACGAGATTAGTCTCTATACACCTTATCAGGATCAATTTCAGGTTATCTAAATACGTATCAAAACTATCACCATACACACTGAAATCATCCATGAAAACCTCAATTATTTTCTCAACATACTCAGAAAAGATGCTTACCATACATCTTTGGAAAGTTGCAGGTGCATTGCATAACCCAAATGACATTCGTTTATAGGCAAAAGTCCCGAACGGACACGTGAAAGTTGTCTTCTCTTGATCCTCTGGGGCAATTGCTATCTGAAAGTATCCTGAAAATCCATCCAAAAAGCAATAGTAAGCTCTACAAGCCAAACGTTCAACCATTTGGTCAATGAAAGGAAGAGGGAAATGGTCCTTTTTTGTGACAGCGTTCAGCCTACGGTAGTCAATACACTGCCTCCATCCAGTGGGTTTGCGCACTGGCACGAGTTCACCTGTTTGGTTAGATTCCACCGTCACTCCTGCCTTCTTTGGGACTACCTGGACCGGACTCACCCAAGGGCTATCTGATATTGCAAAAATAATCCCCACATCTAACAATTTCAAAATCTCCTTTTTTACAACTTCCATCATGAGGGGGTTGAGCCTCCTTTGAGCCTGCCGAACAAGTTTAGCATCCTCTTCCAGTCTAATCCGGTGCATACAGATGGCCGGGCTGATCCCCTTAATGTCTGCGATTGTCCAACCTATCGCCTCTTTATGCTCTCTAAGGACCCGGATCAGTTTTTTCTCCTGGGTTTTTGACAGTGCCGATGAGATAATCACCGGGAGTGTCTCATTGTCACCCAAATATGCATACTTCAGGTGCTCTGGTAAGGATTTCAACTCCAAAACAGGCGCCTGCACCACCGATGGCAATACCCTCTGGTGAGGTTCGGGAATGAATATATGTGAAACGTCGTACCTTTTTGTGGAGGTTGGCAATGAGTGTAGTGCTCCTATCGTGCATTTTAAATATTCACTCCACTCCACCTCAGGAGTTGTCTCCAACTCGAGATGCTTCGTTAAAACAACTTTCAATTCATCCCTGCCAACAGTTTCAAACATTTCCTGCACCGCATGGTCAATAACACTCACAGAAAAAACAGAGCTAAAATTGGAGTTCGAGGGATATTTCATAGTATCAAAAATATTGAAATGCACAATTTCTCCATCAAATTCCATGGACAAGATACCCTTATTAACATCAATTTTTGTTTGTGCTGTGCTCATAAAGGGTCTACCCAATAACAAAGGTGAGGGATCAGGGGAGTGATCATCATCCATATCAAGTACATAAAAATCAATTGGAAACACCAAATCATTAACTTTTACCAACACATCTTCAACCAACCCATCAGGGTATGCATTAGTTCGGTCAGCCAATTGAATGATTATTCCAGTTTCTTTTAATGGATCTAGTTTTAGAGAAGCATAGATAGATTTAGGCATGACATTAATTGATGCTTCTAGATCCAACATGGCCCTTCTAATCACAGTGTTGCCTATTCTACAGGGAATAGTAAACATACTTGGGTCCCCGCACTTGGGTGGAAGCTTCCTCTGCAGGACCGCTGACACATTCTCCCCAACAATGATCCTTTCATCTCTCCTGAATCGCCTTCGGTTGACACACAAGTCCCTTAAGAACTTGGCATATTTTGGTACTTGTTTGATGGCGTCTAAGAGGGGGATATTTATCTCCACCTTGCGAAATACCTCCAAAATCTCCTTCTTCTTATCCTGTTTTTTCGATTTTTCCAACCTGCTAGGAAAAGGAGGTAGGTTAGTTTTAACTGTAATTATTGGGTTTGGAAGTACCTTTGGATCTGCACCATTGCTGTCCTCCCTCTCAAGCTCATTTTCAATCTTTTTCTCATCCTTGTCCTTAGAGATCACAGATTCAGGCCCCTGAATTTCCTTCCCGCTCCTTAGGGTCATTGCGCTCACGTTCTTCGGATTTAATTCAGGCTGAGATGGCAATTTACCTTGGTTCTGGGAATCCAAACGGTTGATTGTTGTAGCCATTTGACTTATCTGATTCCTTATGTCCTGCATTTTAGAGTCCGTCCTTTGCTAATTTTGCATAATGGTTGCCTCCGTCCTTTGCTGATTTTGCGTCATGGTTGCCTCCGTCCTTTGCTGATTTTGCGTCATGGTTGCCATCATTTGTTTCATCATCTCCTCCAAAGATGGACCAGAGCTCGGGGGCGGAGGTGGTCGGGGTTGATATTGCTGCTGGTACCCTGGTTGATTATTTGACACGAAATTAGACTGCCTGTTCGGTGCATAGTTGGGCTGCCTATTTCTTCCATAACTGAGATTTGGGTGGTCCTTCCAGCCGGGATTGTACGTATTCGAGTACGGGTCATAGGCCCTTCTTGGCGTGGGCGCGTGACCAGTCATGTTCACCTGTTGTGCAGTTTCTTCCTGAATCATTGGGCACATCTCTGCAGAGTGTCCCATACCAGTGCAAATCCCACATACCCTGGCTTGTGATGCATTTCCCACAGCCAGTTGCCTAACAAACGAGGTCAACTCAGTTAGCTGCTGCTGGATAGAGGATGTCTCAACCTCATTCACCTTGCGTACTGGGACATCCTCCCTCGTACCGAACTGTTATGAATTCTCTGTCATCCCTTCTATTAGCTCCCTTGCTTCCCGAGGGGTTTTGTTCACCAGTGCCCCTCCACTTGCAGTATCAATTATGCTCCTATCTCTGAAAAGGAGCCCCTCATAAAAATACTGAATGAGCAACTGCTCACTTATCTGGTGCTGGGGATACTTGTGCAACAAGTTCTTGAACCGTTCCCAATACTCATAGAGTGACTCCCCTGGATGCTACTTGATCCTGCAAATTTCTTTCCTTAGGTTTGCAGCTATAGACGCAGGGAAATATTTATCTAAAAATTTTTTCTTCAATTGGTCCCACGTGGTGATGCTACCTGGTGGCAGGTAGTACAGCCAGTCCTTTGCAGAATCCTTCAAGGAAAAGGGGAATGCCCTCATTTTTATCTGCTCTTATGTAATTCCCGGGGGTTTCATACTATTGCATACGACATCAAACTCTTGCAGATGCTTATACGGCTCTTCACCTGGTAAACCATGAAAAGAGGGTAAAAGGTGAATTAGACCTGATTTCAATTCAAATGAAGTGTTTTCACTCAAACTTGGGAAAGTAATGCATAAAGGCTGCTGATTTAAATCAGGAGCAGCCAACTCCCTTAATGTTCGTGCATTAGCCATGGGGATTTCTTCTTGCTCCGAGTCACTCGAAGTGTCACCAAATGAATCTGTTGGTTCAGTTTCTGACTCAGGTCTCCGAGATGTAGCACAGGAGTGCTCCTCTCTGAGCTGTTTGGTCTCTTTTCTTATTCTACGTGCAGTCTTCTCTACCTCAGGGTCAAAAACCAAATCACCTGTACGAGAAGATCAAGGTATGCACTAGAAAAATACCAGAAAATTAGAGCAAAAGGAAAAAAAAAAGAATGAATTTAAAAAGGAACAAATAATAACACCAGTCCCCGGCAACGGCGCCAAAAATTGACAGGGTGTCGAAGCCTGCACAATAATAAAATTAAACCTAATTGCCAGTTAAAATGACCAAGACCCAATTCCAAGTACTGGAGCAGGGACTCTAGGTGTGCAATGGGTTACTTGATTCACCTTGTTCCCGAAGAGTTTGCTTAATCCGATATACCCGAATGGGATGGTTATTTCTTTCACAAATAATTATGAATTTGTAGACAGGGCAAGTAGGGTCGTATCCTCAGGGACTGGATATATTTGTTTCTTAAGAAATTCAAAGTAACACAGGGGGTGATTTTGTAGGAACGACAGCAATCAAATAAATTCAAATAAGAAAATAAAAATAAATAACTAACTAGAAATTAAACCACAATTCACTGAATTTAGAATAACAATAATTAAAGGCCTAAATCAATTAAAACAAGGAAACAATTAAAAATAAAATAAAGTAGGCAACTAAAAGTCAAATGGCACTTCACTAAAATCAAGGTAATATTAACTAAAGATCTAGCAAAAAAGTAACTTCAGCAATGGTTCACCTAATTGATCATTGAAATAAAGGCAATTCCGATTATTTATCAATAAATAGGTTATAACTGCCAACCAGGGGATGACAGTCAACTCCTCCTTACTGTGTCGGTGATTAAGGTACGCCCGTTAATCACTGCTCTAATTAGGAAATAATCCTAGGTACGCCCGTAAGATTTAATTCCCCAATTGCCTTACGTATTAGAGGAACCCTATTCTAACCAAATAACGCACTACCAGAGTTATTTCAGATTAGCCCGCGTATCCCCCTGACACGAATCTAATCGTGCCAGTTATCACTATTTCAGGACAATTAAACAATTACGGATTTAATGCCCTAATTGACGATAGGTTACCAAATCAATTAGTTATCCGGATCCAAAACAATCAATTAATTAAATAACCATGAGCATAGAAATCAAGAAATATGCGGATACCAATAAATAAAAAGAAAAGATTGAATTAAATCGATCTCATAATTTTTAAGCGAACCAAAGCCTTCGTTGCTCCTTGACTAGTAGGAAGGAAATTAGTTCATATTTGATGAACTAAGTCCACGGGAAATTGAAGATAAATCTGCGGCCATTGTCATTGATTTTTTAGAACTCAATCCGCTCCAACCAGGAGGAGATAGCAAAGTTACACGAAATGATCCTCTGCCTCACTACGGACGGCATACCAGGAAAGATAGAAAAACTCTAAGCATTTAACATGAAGAAAAGTCAAAAGCTACCAATTTCTAATGCCTGCCATGCGTATGACAAGCAAAAAACATTTTTAGGGAAAAGTCAACAATCTCAAGCTAAGCTACAGACGGAAAACTAAAACTAAGCTCGCCTCCATCTGATCCTGTTTTTCCTCCTTTATTGCGGCGGCTCACCAGGAGTAGAGATGGCAATGGGGGCGGGTGCCCGCGGGGGGCTCACGGGGCGGGGGTTGGGGCGGGGGGTGGGGCGGGGGCGGGGGGAAATTTTTCCCCCCGCTTAGAAACGGGGCGGGAGGCGGGGGTATACTCCCCCGCCCCATCCCCCGCCCCGCCACCCGCAAAAAAAAAAATATATATATATATATATATATAAATGACTATATATTATATGTAAGTTAATTAGTTATAAACTTATGATAATTATATTATTAGTTAGATGTATTATATAATGTATATTAATTTATGTAATATAATTGATATTATCAATTATATGAATAATTATACATGTCTACTAATAGAATTTATTAATTAGTTATACTAAATTTACTAATACATTTATACTAAATTTCTAATTACACTTTATAGAATAACACTTTTTTCTCAAAAAAAAGCACAAACACAATAATGAATTAGTGATTGCATTTGTACTAAAAGTGAAAATTTGACTATTTTAGTTATATTTATTTCATCATATTGGATTGTATTCAAATAACTTCTGTTTGATTGTTTTTATGAGTTTCAATTGTAAAATTACAATGAATAATAATTTGGTGATGTGTTGATATTTTAGTACTTGATTATTTATTAAAATTTAATTATAATAAAATTATATAATAAAATTTTATTAACGCGGGTGCCCCCGCGGGGGAAGCGGGGCAAGGCGGGGCGGGGGCGGGGCGGGGCAGGGGGAGTGGGAGGCGGGGGACGGGGGGAACTAATAGGTCTCTCGTCCCCCGCCCCAACCCCGCCCCGTTGCCATCCCTAACCAGGAGGAAGAAGCCCTTCATCCGTCATTTCTTTGCGGAAATTATCAAAGTGGGCGTGACATCTTCTTTTCCAAAAATGCCCCTGGGACAAGCTCTATCATCTGGATTTCTTTTCTGTCAAATTGGCACCCGTTGTTATATTTTCGTTCTACTCCCTGAAATAAATGCAAATTACGAAAAATGAGTAGAATCTAATAATTAATCCACATCGGGTCAGGTAACAGAGGAAATTAATAATAAAATAAATAGATAAATTGCAACCTATCACTTGTCAAAAACTCCAAAAGAAATACTAAATACTTGCTTGCTCTGCAGTCGGTGAGATCTGTTTCTATAAAAGGTGAGATTCCTGTAAACTTTTAAATTGTACATTTCTAAATACCCTACTACTTAACAACAACCAATTAACAGGTCAAATTCCAGCAGAAATAGGCCTGTTGGATCAGTTGAAGACTTCTGATGCTGCCAACATCCTTCTATCTGGCCCTTTAGTAGATCGACTTTTGATTAAATTCATGTGACATAAAGTTAGTCAAGAAAATTAATATTAGAATTGATGGAGATCTAACGCAGAGGATGGTAAAGTGGCCTGATGGTTATGAATAACTTTTCAAGGTACAAAAGTGTAATTTATCTTATATATATATATTGATGGAGATCTAACGCAGAGGATGGTAAAGTGGCCTGATGGTTATGAATAACTTTTCAAGGTACAAAAGTGTAATTTATCTTATATATATATATATATATTAACATTTTTTTAACAAGGAAGAAATAGGATTTCTTTTTCAAAAGCGGAGAGGAGGAAGGAGAATTAGATTCCAAGACTTCTAAATCTTAGAGTTTCAACGTTAGTTAATAAAATCATTTTAGGGTTTTAATATAAATAATTTTGACATTTTAACTAATTCCAACGCAGAGGACGATATCCGTCATTTTGACAATGTGCTTCAAATCGTGGAGTCATATACATTTTACCACACTATGATTATACGAAAATGCACTAAATTGTATGGGGTTACACTATAATTTATTCGTTTGTTTGCTGATGAATATAATAGGAAGGAGGCTGATCAGTCCAAACCATTCTTGGTGGGTGCTAATTCCAGATCATTAAACTGTCTCAAATCCTAAAGTCATCAAACTTCTTGCAAGTGAAAGTGCTCTAACACGCATATGTATTCACTCTTTTATTAATTTTTTTTTTGAGGGACATTCTGATGAACCAATCCCACTTTTACAGTTAAGAAGCCAGTGTATAGGTGCATATTGCTCCTACAATGACATTAATATTGTGTGAAACCACAGTA